TCCCCAACATTCTGTGATTCTGTGATCAGTGAAATTAAGCAAAATTGCATGCCTCCTAAAGGTCAGCAGGGAGCTCGAGAAATTGATATTATTCATGGGTCAGTGTCATTGAAATAGTATAAATTTACAGCCTTTTCGGAAAAAAAAAAAAAGTATTTACACTGTCTTAAAACTGTAATCTAAGCTTTCTTGAAAAAAAAAAAAAAATGGAAAAGGCCACTGAGTAATTTATATAAATTCACTAAGACAATTTCAGAGGACTCATACTGTCTACCTTCAAAATATGTAAGGATTATTAAAGCCCTATATTGTGTAAAACTGAAGGGAACTGAAGGAACGGTTCTTCTGTAAAGGATTTTAATAAGAGCCATGATTGTCTTTTGTTGTTTATCTTGCTGTTGTGCCTGCAGGCCTTCCTGAACTCTTATTGTACAGACACGCTATAAAGAGGCATTATAGCTCGCATCCTCGGTTGTGACAAGATGAAACAGTTTGGTGAACATCACTGACGGACCAAGGAGAAAAGTAACAGGAAAGGTCTCTTACTGCAGCCTGCTTTGGAGCCTGTTTACCCAATAGTTTAATGTTCTTGTCAGAAAGGCTTTCTTTAGTGTGTGTGAAGAACTGTGTATCTTTAATTTTCCTTTCTTTTAAAGGCTGTTTTTTTCATAGGAAGAGGTGGGGGAAGGTATGTGCAAGGAAGGGGCTGGCTGTTCCTTCCCATAGAGCACAGGGGAACAGCCCTCAGGCTGAGAGGTGGGAGGGTGGAGGGGAGCAGGGAAAATGCAGCGAGGACCTGGAGCTCCAGTCCTCAGCTGTGGTGGCCAAAACTGTCCTGGGGACCTGGCGTCTGTGCAGAGGTTGCCGCAGTTAGGGAAATCTGGGAGTTTGTTGAAATCAAACCAGACAGTATAGACTCCCACTGCAAGGACACAGTGAGCAAGGGGAGCATGCTTTGTACAGCCTTTGCCTTTCTATTGTACTTGGTCACTGGAGGTTGCTCAGTACTCTCTGATTTTTTCAAGTTGAAACACCTTTTGATCTTTATTTGAAAATTCACTTTATGGAAGAGATTCAGGCAAATCCACCTCAGACCCCTAGTGTCCTGGGACTGACAGGGGTGAAGTTGACAACATCTAGCTGACATGGAGTCCCACCATGACATATAGCAAGCCAGAAGAGAGAGTAATGTCTGTGCTAGACTCGCATTTTCTTGCTTAAAGCATAGCTAATGCTGAAACAAATGAAAAACCTGGCATGCAATAGGTACACTTTCTAAGAGGCTAAAACATGTGAATGAGGTCACAGTTTTCTTTTTCCCTTTGCAGAGTTTCTAAAAAATTTGTTTGTGTGTGGATAGCTACTGTTGTTGAGGGGGAGACCACTTTTTCTCACTATATAACCCCTGTTGTGGCTGTCATGCAAGGCAAGGCAGCCGCTGAAGCAGTGCTGTGAGAGTCAGGATGTGAAAGTTGAACACCTACAACAGGAGAATTTTCAAATCTGATGGGCTTAAAGTTATTGGGGATTTGAAGTAATCTTTTTTTTTTAATTTTAATTAATTAATTGTGTAGTGATCTAGTGAAGGTCAATGGCTGACTAATACTTTGGACTAGGGTTAACTTTTGTTAGAGACATATTTTCTTGGAAATAAAAACATACAAGTGTTAAATATATTTTGAGACACTGACTCCCTGCCCCTTGACCAACATCGCTGGTGTAGGCAGACTGCCAACCCCCTGCCCCCTGCCACCCTGCCCCTTGGCTGATGTCAGCAGCGCAGGCAAGATGCCGCCCACAGTATCCATGTGAGGTATGACCCTCTCAAACCACACTGCCATTGCTGGAGCCAAGGGACGGCCTGACTCTTACTCGCATTGAGGAGGCATTTATGTGACTGGCTGTTGCTGCCAGGTGACTCAGACACCAAGTGTCCCTGGCTGTCCACTGGAGCCACTGCATCTCTTAACGATGTCATGTTTGCTGTTGTTGATTGGGTATGTTGCCATATGGGCACACTGTTGCTCATCTTTCCTACTGCCTCAATAAAACTTTGTTTTATAAAGCATTTTCAGACTCCATCACTGTTCAGACCACAGATACTCAGCAGATAATCTGAAAAACAAAAACCAGCCCAAAATAGGGCATCATATTTGGCATCAGAAACACAGGGGAATATTGTGGTGCCTGATATGGCTTCTCCTTCCACCATTTGATTTCCAGCTGCTAGGTCTCAATCATCTCAGCACTGAAGAGCTGTAGCCCCTCTTCCTAAATGGTAGCAGTAGTAAAAACAGTAGGACTGGGACATATCTGCTCCATTTTGTACTCTCTTCACCTCCTGGCAGCAGCATTCCTCATATTTGCTCTGTGAAAAAATCAACAGTTTAAAAATAGAAATGAAGGAAGGAAGGAGGAAGGTTCCTCAAAAGGAACCTTGTGAGACCAGCTTAATCCATAATTTTCAAAAGCCTAGTTTATTTTTAGAATCTTTACTTTTCTGGTGACATTATCACAGGAATCCTTGTTGATGTCTGTAAGTGTGTTTTTATATCATTGTAACTGACTTAACTCTGTTTTTGTTCATCTTCTCTTCTCTCCCAGTGGAGTTTTTATACTGTGATTTGGCTTCCATGAAGTCTATACGGCAATTTGTGCAGCGGTTTAGAGCAAAGAATTGTCCACTCCATGTCCTGGTGAATAATGGTGAGTTCTGTTTTTTTCTTTACATATCTGCAGGGGAAATATGACAAATGGGGCTCTCGTCTATCACTTCACATTTCAGATCGTTTATCTGAACCATACAGCAGGTTGCAATATGGCTGCATTAACAGAGATGTCTTTCTAGGAGTTAAACTGCATTTTTTGGAGAGATTGTCAGCTGAGCAGTCTGAAGACTTCAGTGCTATCCCTGCTTATGATGTGATGGCAAGCCTTGTTCCTTTGCTGTGTTTTCAGCTCTCCAGCACTAAAAATCATGTGACTGCGCAAGAATCTGAGCATCACTAATATTAAAAAAAAAAAGGAAAGGAAAGCTATACTTTCTATCTGTAGAAAACCTGTCCTTTCACCTTTATTTACTTACTCTCTTGTATTTTCCCTGTATGAACACATGCGTTGACTGTGGCTGCCTGTTGAGCTGGGTTGGGGAATTAATCCATCTGAAATATAATCTGGCAAATTATCCAGCAACCTCAGAGCAGTCACTGCTTAGATGAAGGTACTGCTGTAAAGTTATCCATAAAGCTGCATCCTAAGTGGTCAGAGAACAAATTAAAAGGACAATATTTATCTTGCATTCGTACAATTATCAAATGAATCTCATTGCTCTCAGGGATTTTAATTTTTGTTAGTCACATCCTTGCCGTCTAATTATGTTTTGCAGCCACAGTATTTTTGGATTCAGCCCATACAATAATTTTCCTCAAAAAACCCTGCACGCTCTGCATGCTGTTTCCTAAAGGGGAATTTTCCCTGTCTATTTAACTAGGGGAAAAACCTACCAGCAACAATTTAGGCTTCTTTTAGAAGTTTTCTTCTGTTATATGCTGCTGTTCTTGTTTTCCCAATTATTTGCATGTATTTTTAGTAAGACATCCCAAAGAACATTTTCTGTTCTCCTGTGCACCCTTCAGTCCTAGTGAGGGCAAACGTGCTGTAAATAAATGGGCTTGTTGGTGCCTTAAAGAGCTCTCAGTAACACAAACAAATATAGCAATAAAAATTCAAGAGTATTTTATTTCCTGATTGATATGAAACATTCATGAAATGTTCAATTGAATGTTCATTTTTATTTGATTAGTCAAAAAAGCCTACCATTACTATTTTAATTGTGCAATAATTAAAGTAGTGGATATTTAATCCTGGTTACAAAATCTTTCCCGTGTTACATACCTACTTTTAAAGATGCAGAGTACAAATGTTACACAGATGGAAACAACACTATTTGAAAAAAAGCATTTTGTAGAAAAAAAGGTTTTGAGATCTATGCACCCGTTGAGCATCCCTGACCCTCCACCAGTTGTCTGCATGAGCAAAACCAGGGCAGCTGGGGGAGAAATGATGGGTCTGATGCAACAGCACAGCTGGGAAGCCCTCTTGACTAAAGGATTTTGTTCTGCTGTAGCTGCTGTTGAAGCAGGATGGATTAAAATTACAGGTAAATATGTCTTCTTAGTCAAGAAACAAAGTTATATGAAAATAGATCTCCTAATATGCCTAATATGATACAAGACCAAAGAGTGTAGGTCCAAAGCTTCTTTTAAGAAAGAAGCCTGAGACTAATATTTGCCTGAATCAGTGTATATTTTTTATGACCTGCAAGAAGGGCATTTGATTTCACTTATGCTTGGTTACCAAATAGAGTTGGCAAGACAAATCTGTTGTTTGAGAAAATCCTGTTAGAAAATACAATGAAATGAATGGTCCAATGCTGCTTTTTGCTGAATCTTTAACAGAATCACAGAAGCAGTCACGTCCAAAGCTGCTGTATAGACTCCTGTGTAATTAGGTTAGTCTCCTACCATTACCTGGCAAGTCACCCGCCTCCACTTCTGAATGCTCTTTCCCACTTTTTTTTTTTTCCAATCCTTTTTGTTTGCCCTTGTAAAAAAATCTATAGCATTTAGTTTTGTTACTACTTTCATAGTGAAAGTGATTTCTTGATAAACAAGAGGAAAATGAACATACCTAATGGAGGAGAAATGGCCTGATGCAAAAACCTTTGAACAGCTTCTCTTGGCTTTCCCTCAGAGTGGAGCACATCCAAGAGAAATGCTGACATTTGAGCTAACTGGTAGGCTTTTTCTTTTCCCTTTCCCTTCCTCTTCCCTTTTTTTGGTCACTTTTTTCACTGTAATGCAATGCACTAAGGAGGAAGATTCAGTCCATCATGGGCTGCAGGGCTGGAGGCACTACTCACTCAAATCCTCATCACAGTTGCCAGCTCCACTGCCTTCACCGCATGATCTCCTGGACACAAGCTTGGGTGCCTGGAAGAGGACAGTGCTTACAATATTTAAATGTCTGATGGGAATTAGTTGTTGGGCATGATGTCAGTGAAAGTGTATGCTTGCTGTCAGAAAACTGTTGTCAATAGGAAGGCATTTTGCATGACCATTAGATGTCTTACGTGACATCTTATGATGACATGGTTGATTTTCTTATGTTTCAGTGCATGCATCTAGAATAGCAGGTTTCTTAGGATCACCTAGTACTTTCTTATTTCTTACAGATCTCGAAGCTTTAGCATTCTTGATATGAAGACATATTTTTATTTTTTAGCATATGGGGAAGAGTCTGCATTTGTAGGCGGTTTTATGTTCTTAAGAGTCTGACTGAAAATCTGTTGGGGCTAATGGAAAGTCTGTATCAGGTTTTGAAAATCAGAATTTGTGTGGGTCCCACAAATTTTTTGAGGAAAGTTCTAACCTTATACAATAATGCAAACTATGAAATTAACACTGAAATATTGTTAAAGACAGGTGACTTGGCATGAATTACTGTGCTAGGTAAATAATCAATACTACATGTCTGACCTAAGATAGTTATGAAATTCAGCAGTTTTCTGGGTCACTGATGATTTTTTTAAACAATGTATCTCCATCACTTGCCTAGCTTAAGCATCTGGTTGGAAATTAAATTAATACTAAAATCCTGAGTTCCAAAGTATTCTCCTAGAGCTAGGCATCCAGGTTCCACAAAAATTTCAGTAAAGTTGAGGTATCCAGCTAATTCAGGCACTTTAAGAAGTCTTAAATGAATATTTAGGGCGTTCAAAATGGAGATTAGTGCACTAGAGTCACCTCCTCTCTTTTTGTTATAGCTGATTTTAGCATACACATTTAACTTTCTAATTTCTAATTTAAAAGGAAAAATTTGGTTGAATGCACGCATTATTTCAGCTGACAAATAAAGGCCTGTTGTTCTATTGCTATGCTTTCTGCATCAGTAATGTGCACGCTCAGCTCTTGGTTTTTAAAATAAGCAAAACATATTAAAGATGCAAATAGAGTGTTACATAAACATTTTAAAAAAAAAAATAACGTGCTACTGCTAAAAAGAGTAAAATGCTATGACACAGAAAACAAATTCATTTTCTGTGGGAAAAAAATAAAAGTAAGTTAAGTATTTGAACTATGAGCCACAGAAAGATGGATTCAGTACAAGCAGTTTAGAAAACTTAGTCTGACAGAAGGTCAGAAGAAGGTGTCTTCTAGTCCACTGATTAGCAATTGGATGACAATTTTTTGGTTTTGTTTTTGAAAAGAATCATAGAATGGTTTGGGTTGGAAAGGACCCCAAAGATCATATAGTTCCAACCCCCTGCCATAAGCAGGGACACCTTCCACTAGACCAGGTTGCTCAAAGCCTCATCCAACCTGGCCTTAAACACTTCTAGGGAGGGGGCATCTACAACTTCCTTGGGCAACCTGTTCCAGTGTCTGACCACCCTCACAGGAAAAAATTTCTTCCTAATATCTAATCTAAACCTCCCCTCTTCCAGTTTAAAGCCATTTCCCCTTGTTCTATCACTACCTGCCCTTATGAAAAGTCCCTCCCCAGCTTTCTTGTAGCCCCTTCAGGTACTGGAAGGCCGCTATAAGATCTCCCCGGAGCCTTCTCTTCTCCAGGCTGAACAGCCCCAACTCTCTCAGCCTGTCCTCACAGGAGAGGTGCTCCAGCCCTCGGATCATCCTCATGGCCTCTTCTGGACTCGTTCTAACAGGTCCACGTCTTTGTTGTGTTGGGGGCTCCAGAACTGAACGCAGTACTCCAGGTGGGGCCTCACGAGAGAGGAGTTTTTGTACAGTTGCAAAGCATCCCAGCTCATGGCAGGGGGGTTGGAACTGGATGTACTTTAAGGTCCCTTCCAACTCAAACCATTCTATGATTCTATGATTTAGCAAATTACAGCACGTACACTAGTATAATTAATACATTCATTAAAATGGTATTCCTGCTAAGACATATTATAAAGTCTGCTATCTTCCTGTGGTTGCAAAAGAGACAGATAGTAAAACACTTCATAAAATTCCAGGAGCAGTAGTCACTGTTTCATGCCACAGAGGTTTTTTTCTAACTTGAAGTAAGTTGTTTTGTCTGTGTGCTACAAATGTTTCTCAGCACGTTGTAGTTCATGTTTTTACTTATACATTCTTTACAGTACTTAATGGTCCTAAACCCAAGAGAGCTAACACCAAAATCACAACATCTTTAGTGATAACAGAATACCTACAGATACCAAACATGCACAGTCTAACTCATTAACGATGAAATACCAACGCCTTCTCTGTTGCATTTCATTGAATGGTTTGTGATTTTGGCTAAAGGCTAGGAAAGGAGGGGGAAGAAAACGACGGGGACGTTTAGTATATTCCTTGTCATGCACACAAAAACAAAACAAAAAAAGAACTAAAGAGATTTCAGGATATTATTAGCCTATTGTAGGCAGATTACAGTTAATATATTTGAGGTTGAAGTCTATCTAAGCAAATTTAAAATCAATATTTCTGAACTGCTGGCTAATTCAGACATTCATATTTCATACTTTGTGGATCATCTGAGAAATCTCAGTCTCTTGATAGAATGAATAAGTCTCTACAAGCTTCCCTCTTTAGTTCCTAGGGCACAATCAAAGCTGTGTCAGTAGGTAGGTATGTGAAATACATTTTTTTTGTGTGTGTGTTACCTACACACAGTTAAGC